TGCTTTGCATTGGATTGGGAGTGAGGAACTGAGCCCTTTTCTGTGTTCCTGTGTGGGGTGCTGCAGGTGTCTAGGAGCACAGAAAAGCTGGCCCAGTAGAGCATGAGGTGCAGAAACCAAGGATGAAGGTGCATCCACTGATGCCGCTGGAGGTGCCCACAGCAAAGCAAGCACAGGGTTCGAGTTGGGTGGCATTTGGCTTTCTCATGGTCAGTGGCTTTTTGTTTTCCAGGTGTTTCTGTGACCTCAAGTAACACAGGTGTGCCTGATATCAGTGGCTCAGTCTATAACAAGACTCAGGTGAGGAATGCTGAACCCTCCTCCCCATGGCCTGAGGCCAAGCTGATTGTTCCCTGCTTACTGACAATTCAGTAAGACTTCCCCTATGGCAGACAGGAGCAATTCCCAGGCCTGTTCATCCTGTAGGCAGCAGATTTGGGGTGTGTGTGTGTTGGTTGCTTGTGTGTGTGGTTTTTTTTTTTTGTTTGTTTTTTTTTTGTTTGTTTTTTTTTAGGAAAAACAAAAAACCCTGATTCATATCAGATTTCACATACATAGTAACAAAGTGAGAAGGAACAAAATGAAATGGTAAATAAACCTGTTCCTGTGTTTGAAAATTTTGCTTTAAGCCATTCAGAACTGAATGGCCCTGTCTTGACTATTTTATTTTGACAAAGCAGGAAGCCTTGTACATTTCTGCTTGGTGAGACTGGTTCTGTAGCTCCTAGTACTCTGCTGAGTAACAGGTAATTGGAAACTGGTACAAAGATTCTGTGAAAAAGACCTTATTGTTCTTCTCCTCTTGATTGCACAGAGAACCCTTGATGAGCAGTGGGGTTGCATCTACCTGCTGTTTCCTCCTGCTTTAGAGGACTGACTCTTTGTAGTGGGAAATGAGCCCCATGCAATATCTTGGCTGTGATCCATGCCTGTGGGTAGGATGCTGCCGCCTCTCACACATGCTGCTTGGCACCAGTGTGAAGCTTTGGTCACAGGGAACAAAGTTCTTACTAGAATTTCTTCTTTGTCCTTGTTCTTTGTAGTGGGAAATGAGCCCCATGCAATATCTTGGCTGTGATCCATGCCTGTGGGTAGGATGCTGCCGCCTCTCACACATGCTGCTTGGCACCAGTGTGAAGCTTTGGTCACAGGGAACAAAGTTCTTACTAGAATTTCTTCTTTGTCCTTGTTGGGCAGCTGTGATCAGGTGGAGTAATTCCAGCCTGAGCTACCTGTGATGAGTGAAGGACTGATTTCCGGAGAC